CGCTACACTACAACCAAGAAAACTATATCCCGGCAAGTTAATAGAATTAGATTTATAAAGATTTATATTTCTCATAATGTTGTTCCTAAGTGTAGTTTGCTCGGTAGACGTTATAATCTAGCGACATCTACAAATAGAGAACTAGACCAAGTATCGTGTGGGCTACTGAATAATATGGATTTCATTTAGTTACGAGACATGGCTGATGGGTCAGGACAGGTGATTCACAGGATTACCCGTCGGATACATGATAAGAAGCTCCAGAATTTAGGAATTAGAATAAGGTCGAGAAACTGTTCACCTAAGAAAAATCTTACTAACCATGTTTGTAATAAAGTGGGGAAGGATAAGGTAATCAATCTAGCTAGTTCAACTCTGGAGGATAGTGTAGTACTTTTATTGGAAATAGGACTGAATTTTGCTCTTCCAAATGAGGTAAACCATTCTCTGGAAATACTTGTTGAATTAATTAGCTTATGATAGATTACCTTAAGAGGTAAGGAATAGTATTGAACTGGATCGGATCCCTCATTTTGACTATATAATACCACCTAAGAAAGACTGTCATATTAGTAGGATTTCTAGATATCTGTATAATATGAATGTAATCGTAACGAAAGCCGACAAAGGTGGAGCAGTGGTAGTCATGGCTAAATCAAGTTATGTAGACATTTATAATGGACAGAAAACAATATACAGAGAAAATGAAATGTATTTTGCTAGACAGGACTACTTATCGTCTACTAAAGAAGGACCCAACTATGAAGTTCAATGGAACTCTACGGGAAATTTTGAAAGAAATGCATAGAAATGGGGAGATAAATGTATGGACAATAAATTCACTTATAAAAATGTATGCACGATAACCAACAGCCTACGGGCTACCTAACTTACATAAAAAAGGAGTTAACAACAAGTTTGAAGCAACCCACGAATTAGCCAAGTTTATATGTCGGAACCTCAAGAAAGTAAACGACAGTTATCAAACACAGCGAAGCACTCAAATTAATCTTCTCAGAGGATCAAAAACATAACACTAGAAGAAACAGAATTACTGGTAAGTTTTGATGTACAATCTATGTGCACAAACATTTCTGGAGAAAAGGTGTTGATGACCCTGTTGGAAATTTTGGATCGAGAAATACATTGGCGAAACTGATAGAAAAATCGGCATGCAAATCAAGGAATATCAAAGTCTCTGCAGGAAAATTGATACTTAAAGATCAGATATAGTAGAACTCATCGCAGAAAGAAGGTCCTCATACAGTGAGAGCACAAAGAAACACAAGATTAGATGAGCCATTGATATTTTTTGGGGAAAAAATTTTATGATTAAGAGACTGGAAGAAGGCAGAGTCAATGATAACTTTGCTTTTTGCCTGATCAAACTCGGAGTAAACAGAGATGCAACAAGACAAGCAAAAAGAAGACACGTGGATCAAAGATCTATCGTAAACCAGAAGAAAAGGGATCGCAAGGAAGAAGAGGGTGAGGAGGTTTCGAAAATGAAGCGAAGATGTTTTCAGTGAGATTAGTCAGCTCGAATAGACAACTAGAATTTGGAGGCTTGTTGTTTCATGTGAATAGGGCAGGATTGGGTCGGTCGAAACGTTGAAATAAACGTTTTAAAATTCAGGTCACTTTCCCTTCCATTTCTAGTAAAACCAACCTATTCATTTTAATCTTTTTTTTTCATTTGAAGCATGAACTTATTAATGCCTTCATCTAAACCCATTCTTTATTTAGATATAAATAGCTATGTTTTTAGTATTTACGATGACATCTTTTCCCAAGACATTCTTCAATCAGCCACAGTCGTCAACCTGTCCTGGAATAATATCTACAAAGTTGTTGGGTTTCTGTCTTTTGTATCTAAAATTTTTAGAGACAGTTTTTTATGATTTTTATGCTGCTATCAGGGAGGATAGCTCTTCCAATGGGAGAATAATCTTTATATCCGATGAAGTGTTTTCTTTTGATTATTTATTCTTTATATTAAGACGTATTTAGAGCCTGCTTTAGGAGATAGATACCATCATAATAAGACGAGTTTTTTGACATCTTTTTATTAAAATCATCAACTATTATAACCTAGATCACCTTCAATACTCTTTGACTCACTTTGTAGAAGTGCTTTTACTGTACTCGTGTCGATATTGAGCTCTAGTCATTATATAATTAGGTATATTTTCATATATCTAATTTCATTTACATTCCTGACTTCAGTCATACGTTATTAAGCTGTACCAACTGCTGTCGCAAGAATTCTCGGGAATCATTCTTGATCTGTTTGGATCGTGTGCCAACGGATTCAGCCTCTGCTCGAGCGATCTAGATGTTTGTGCTTCATTTCCTGAAGGTTCTTCTAACTGGCATGCTGTTAAAAAGCGGCCTCAATTACTCGAGGTAAGTTATTTTAGTAGAAGTGGTTCAAATGTTATTTAATCTTCTTTATATCCTTGATTAGACTTAACTCACCACTTATGTAAAAAATTGGTCCGATAGACTCCTTAAAATATAAAGTATCAACTATCCACAATGAACTTGGGAAAAAATAAAAGCATAAAGTGTTAAGAATGCATACTGTATTTTAGGATGCTTACTAGTTTTATAGAGCCTTTATATTTAGTGAGGTGAGAAATAAACTTCAGATATAGGGAACAGACCCATTTGTAAGTCTTTACAATGGAATCAGGTAAAACAAGCTTGATTTCTTATTTATATCATCTATAGGCCAGAGCCAAATATATATGCTATTATTGTGGTAATTGGCCATAAAGCCTGTCCAATATAAACTTTACTTTTCGAAAACGATATTTTAAACGAAGGTATGAAGATCAAGATAGTTTGGCCTTTTGTGTGGTCGCAGTCTCCTTTCATTGTATAGAAGTTGTTTGACCTTGTTTTCGTAACTTGGTCATATTGGTAGAAAGACTTGGAGGAACGCACCTAGTCCGGAGTCTATTGCATGCATGATCATTTCCAAACTCTGATCGTGGACGTGGTACATTCCCAGACGTTTCGCCGGCAAATCGATCTTGAAATAGACCTCAAAGGTCCTCTACAAAAAGGAAATATGCATACCCTTTTCACTATATTTCATAGATTTTAAGCTCTATTTTCATATTTTTTTTGAGAAAATAGCGGATGTTGAGTCTCCATCCTAAAGAAGGCGACTCAATTTGTCAGCTCAGTTCTAACCTCACACTCGTCCAACCTGTTAGATTAACGAAATAAGACATCGACTATACTACAGGCCATACCATCTTAGTCTTCATATCGTCTGTCTTATTAAAGCCAAACTACTAAAGTACGACGAGAATCAGCCGTCGTCTTCTTGTGAGATCGACGTTCGAATCTCTTCCTCATGCACTTTTATGCAAAATGAAAGTCTCCCCAACAATGTTATCTTAGGAGACCGATCGAAACCCAGTTACTCCTTGTATCTCAAAATTTTATCTAGCTAGCACTATTTATTTGAAGTTTCAAGTTAGCATCCTACGACCAGTCTTAAAAAATTCAACTCGCCTCTACAAACGAAATGAAGGTACTCTGACATTGATTAATTTTAATCGAAGGTATAAAGACCAAGATGGTGTGGCCTTTTGTGTGGTCGCAGTCTCCTTTCGATGTATACAAGTTGTTTGACCTTGTTTTCGCAACTTGGTCATATTTGTAGGAAGACTTAGTGGAACGCACCTTGTCCTGAGTTCATTGTATGCATAATCATTTCCAAAGTCGGACCGTGGACGTGGTACATTC